AAAGCTTTTTTCAGAGGTAGCGCTTGTTTTTTTCACATAACTCTTGTATCTTACGTCTGGTTGTAAAGCACTTTGCTATTTTGAAAAGATAATTGAAACAGCTAGAAGTTAAGCCTAAGCACTTTGTGATTACAGCTTACCGTCTGGGAAATATAAAGCATTGAAATGTAAAAATGATGATTTTTGTGAGGTATTTTTTACGAAATTTTGACTTTAAAAACTCAGGAAAAGTCGAAAACAAGCGCTACCTCTGAAAAAAGCTTTAAAAAAAAATACCAGACTTCAAAAATTCTTCAAAAAAAAGTTCTGCCATAGAAAAAAAACCATAATTCTTTAAAAAATTTTAAATCCCCATATCTATCAGAAAAAGTCGGTTTGGATCCTTGAGGAAAAAAAAAGTTCGATTTTGTCGAGTAGTGTTATAAGAAGTTTAAGATCAATAAATCTTGAACGCAAGGTATTTAATATATCTGGACCCAGTTGTTTAAAAGCATGGTTGGATTGATTGAGGGGTAATGAAAACATTTAGTGAAGTGTGGCACCTCCAATACCAAATGCAGCTTTTCCTGTGGGAGCACACAGAAGTACTTTTACAGTATTTGGGTCAGATCCTGGTATACGATTAAGCTCCTGAGAAATGGTCTGAAAAATGGTAGATATTGTTCTACTCTTGCCGACGCCTGCGCCGCCACCTACAAACTCATAAAAAAGTGCCTTATCTCTCACATTATGAAGAACATGTGTGAGATAAGTTTTTTGCTTTAAATTAAGCGATCTTATCATATTGGCTAAATCAGTAAGGGAAACAAACGTGGGAAGCTTAATTAATCGAATACTCCTATCTGGATCCGCTGCCTGGTCATTCAAGTTTAGAACATTTATTTGAGAACCTATTTCAGGAATCGCTAAAGCTCTAAATTCCTCATCAATTGCATCATCACCTGCCTCACCTGCATTTTCTACCCTATTGGCTTCGGCTTCCATGGCCCTCCTAAGCACGTCTTCTAAATCTGCTAATGCATTGTATTTTTGGAAATTCGAACTAACTAATTCCTGATGATCCCTATAAACATCCTCACAATTCATGCTCACTAACTCTGCCTCTTCATCTCTCCACGGATAAAACAGCATCACTAGTGCTCTTAAATAGTTCGACCTATCTGTGTTTATATTAAACCTCATATATTTTAAAATCGATGGCTTGGTCCGTTCCCTAATAAAACCACTACTATCGCGGAGAGGGAAATATACTTCTACTAGGACCTCATTTTCTTCGTCCTCTTCATCATCATTTTGGCCAGTTCTTTTTTTGCTTTTAGAAAATTCATAATTTGCTGCAAAATCGGCTAAACACAGGCCCTCAAGAAAAGTTTGTCTTTGTTCATACCGCTCCAGCAATCCTTTGACGAATATGTCAGTGGAATCCTGATTCATATTTTGAAGGTTGCTTGTGGATTTGAGCATTCGAACTCGTTGCTCTGGAGGGAAAGTATTTACTTGAACACATTTGTTGCTGATTCCGGACAACGGAATGCCTAGACAACAGTATACGGCTTCCTGAGCAGATATCTCAGTGCCAGAAATAAATTTATGACCAATGTGCTGTAGCTTTTCTCTGATCGTGTAATTGCCCCCTTGAACTTCGCTTACCGCCACGCGCATAAGCTTTGAAATACCCCTTTGGGATTTATTTATATAGTTAATTACATAGCTACAGCACGCATAAGGGTCCAAAATGTATTGGATATCCATATTGGCCCTTTGCATTGAAAGAATGTGTTTATTATAAGCATTAATGTTAATCTCAGCAAATGACCTTTTTAGAAAAATTGTTGGTTTCTTCAAACCAGAACATATTGCATATTTGTAGTCCTCGTAATTGAGGCTCACTTGTTCGTGCGAAAGAATGTTTTCAAATATGCTCAAGTGATCAATCATATCAGGGGATTGATCAGAATTTAATAGGTCTTTAATTTTCTTAAAATTTCCTTGGTGAAAATCAAGGTTTGGAGTTTCCTCCGGCAATGGACTCAATATCTCCGTTTGGGGCATTGGAGGGTATGGAATACCGAATCTACAAACTTTGTTTCCACTTTTACCAACTGTCTTAAGACCTGACCTGTTTGTGTGCTTATGCTTTTGGTATTCAACATACGGAGCTATTTCTGAGTCTGTTATATTTACTGTAATATGTTTATTAATGAAGGCTACAACTGTTGAAATTGACTCAGTACTGGTTAAGTCCACTGCTGGGGCATCTTTCAGCCAAAACATGCCATGAATATGGGGAGAACCTCTCTGTTGAAATTCAACACGCCAATAGAATTTGATGACGAAGTTTTCTCCGAAAATGCCCTCTGGACTCCTTATAACTTTTAAAATCTCGCGATACCTATAATCAAAATACCTAGCACAAGTAACTGGATCTGCCCTAATAAGACGCGCCTTTTCGTCCCAAACTAAATCAATGGCCTCTTCTTCGCTAATTACACTAGTCAACACGATTTTTCCTCAAGGAACAAAACGAACTTTTTCTTAAAGATTTGGGGCTTAGAAATGGTTTGATAATATTTTTTTTTTCTATGGCAGAACTTTTTTTGAAGAATTTTTGAAAACTGGTATATTTTTTTAAGCTTTTTTCAAAGGTAGCGCTGTTTTTTCACATAGCTCTAGTATCTACGTCTGGTTGTAAAGAACTTTGCTATTTTGAAAAGATAATTAAAACAGCTAGAAGTTAAGCCCAAACACTTTGTGATTACAGCTTAGCGTCTGGGAAATATAAAGCATTGAAATGCAAAAATGATGATGTGCGGTATACGAAATTTTACTTTAAAAACTCAGGAAAAGTCAAAAAAAATTAATCCTGTGCCCTATTTGTGAAGGTGCATTAATGGCATCGTTCAAGGTATCGCTCATTAAAATCATGGAGAGACGGAGCTAAAATCGTTAACCAAACCTAAAATATGGAAAAAATGAACAAAAAATACGTTTTGGAAGGTTGCGAGCTCAACTGCCCATTGGGAATTGGGATCGCGATCAGGTACCAAATGTACAACCCTTGTTCGTTTGCTTTGTTCCCAATTGGCAGTTGGGCCCGCCGCCTTCAAAAAGGTATTTTTTGTTCATTTTTTCCATATTTTAGGTTTGGTTAACGAATTTTAGCTCCAAAGTCCTCCATGATAATGGCGATACCTGAACGCGCAATAAGCCATACACAAAAAGCACGACGCAAAGTAAAAATTTCGTAAAATACCGCACAAACTCATTTGCATTTCAATGCTTATATTTCCCAGACGGTAAGCTGTAATCACAAAGTGTTGGCTACCTAGCTGTTAATCTCAAATGCAACACAACCAGCACAAAAAAACTATCGCTACCTCTGAAAAAAGCTTAAAAAAAAATACCAGCTCAAAAATCTAAAAAAAACGCATAGAAAAAACCATAATTCTTTAAAAAATTTTAAAGCCCCATATCTATCAGAAAAAGTCGGTTTGGATCCTTGAGGAAAAAAAAAGTTCGGTTTTGTCGAGTAGTGTTATCATTCTATCTACGTTTTTTTTGAGCAAAACAAGCAACTCTGGCCACCGCGTTTCAGCAGCAGACAGAGTGATGAAAAAAGTCGGCAGGCCGAACTGACGAATCATGGCCATAACCTTCTTCTTTTCATCCTCCCAGTGAGCTGGAGACGAGCGAATATCTCGAAGAACTCTATATCCCTCATCGTGGTTAATAAGTCCCCCTATGAAATTCTCATTAAGAGCGTTGGCTGCCGTTACTGCACTGGAAATGCTCCGCTTACGTAAGCAGATTGAAATGTTATTGCGAATCTTAATGAGTTCTAATTTCTTGTAATTAAAAAACAGTTTATCAGTTCTACAACCTCTCCTATCTACATTTTGAAGCTCTGATCTAACTATGGTTGTATAACTTTCTGAGCATGGTCTCTTCACGCCTGCGTAAATGGTGGGAAAGGATAACTCTTCCGAGTCAATATCTAGGATCATGTCGAGAGGTCTTTGGCCTTCGCCTGGTGCTATTCTTACAGGTGTATCATTAAATGCGATGTTATTTTCAAGCAGAGTTTCCTGACCTCCAGGATTGAGCTGATCAGCTTCCAAATCCTCGTCAGGATGGGCTGGCTCTGCGTCTACATTCCTATCTCTATTCTACATCGCTTCTAATACGGCAGCGTCTGCCTGAGATGCAACAAATTGAACTATATCGGATCTAAATTTAGACATCCATTCCTCGTTAACTTTAACATCATGCTTTTTATATAGATCTGTGGTAACTAAATAGCTGAGAGCCTCAAAAACTTTTAAGGGTCTAATGGTTTCAGCCATGAAATCAGCACCAATTGCCATTCTACGTTTCAGGTGGAGCTGAACAACCTGGGCTTCATGGAAAGCACGTGGACGCTTTTTGACGGCTTCGTCTATCGAAATAGGGACGTTTACTACTGCTCCTTTAATGGCATTTTGGCCTCGCGATCCGTCTAATAGACTCATAATTATCATAAATGGAAGTCGAGGAGAAACAAGTCGTTCCTCTAATTTAGTAAGCCCCTTTAAGCAGTCGGACAGTATGGGGAAATCTAATCCATTTTGGAAGAAAAGTTAAGGACTGTTGCCTTTCGTTATTTTGCTGTGGCATGTTCTGCAGAACTTTAATTTTTGGCAGTCAGAAGGGAATTCTAGAAGGCTTTGAAGAGCGAAAATGTCTGCACTAAACTCGCAACAATTTTGTAAATTCTCGCGAGAAATTTTACAAATTTGTTTGGGGAACCAGAGGCCTTTACAAGAAAGGCAAACCTGATCAGGACCCAGCTTTACATTCCTATTATAGACTACTTTTAGAGCTTCTAGGCCAGTAAGCCTGATTCTGGGTCCTATCTGAGCCCTATCCTGGGAGATATTTGCTTTTTCCTGCTGCATTCGGGAGGCGTTTCTCAAGTTTTGCTCAAGCCTATTACTGCTATCGCTCCTATATTGGCTAGCTCTCTAACTAGCACTTCTGGCAGCGTCAATTGCGGACCGTCGAGCTGCGGCACGAGCAGTTTGACGTGCCAGAGTGTCTCGTTTCTTGCGAACTCTATCCTGCTCTCTTTCTAGCAGTCGTCTCCGTTCATTATTTCTACGTATGCGCTGTCGCCTATCTGTATTTTCTTGCTGTTCTCTGGTCCTATAGACCAAGTCCTGTCTACGTATGGACCGACGCACAGTATCGGCCACTTGCTCCTCACGTCTAATCTGTGCGTCTGTTCGTCTTTGTATGCGTTGTGCTGTATTTTGTCCCTGCTCTGTAGACCTATAGTCTAAGTCCTGTCTACGTATGGACCGACGCACAGTATCGGCCACTTGCTCCTCACGTCTAATCTGTGCGTCTGTTCGTCTTTGTATGCGTTGTGCTGTATTTTGTCCCTGCTCTGTAGACCTATAGTCTAAGTCCTGTCTTCGTTCGGACCGACGCACAGTATCGGCCGCTTGCTCCTCACGTCTGATCTGTGCGTCTGTTCGTCTTTGTATGCGATGTGCTGAATCTTGTGCCTGCTCTCTGGTCCTATAGACCAAGTCCTGTCTACGTATGGACCGACGCACAGTATCGGCCACTTGCTCCTCACGTCTAATCTGTGCGTCTGTTCGTCTTTGTATGCGTTGTGCTGTATTTTGTCCCTGCTCTGTAGACCTATAGTCTAAGTCCTGTCTTCGTTCGGACCGACGCACAGTATCGGCCGCTTGCTCCTCACGTCTGATCTGTGCGTCTGTTCGTCTTTGTATGCGATGTGCTGAATCTTGTGCCTGCTCTCTGGTCCTATAGACCAAGTCCTGTCTACGTATGGACCGACGCACAGTATCGGCCACTTGCTCCTCACGTCTAATCTGTGCGTCTGTTCGTCTTTGTATGCGTTGTGCTGTATTTTGTCCCTGCTCTGTAGACCTATAGACCAAGTCCTGTCTTCGTGTGGACCGACGCACAGTATCGGCCGCTTGCTCCTCACGTCTAATCTGTGCGTCTGTTCGTCTAACAGTATGATCGGCTTCCTGCTCTCTCAGCGCTACAGCTAGAACCTGCCTACCTCCTACCTGTCCCAGCACCACAATCTCCTGTTGCTGGTTCCTATCAGAATCTAAATTTTCCAAATTTTCCCTATTTCCTAACTGTTCCCTATTTGATCTGTTTCTCAACCTGCGTCTCTGAGACTGTTGAGAAGCAGATTGCCTATTCCTACGTGGCATTTTACAAAAATGTATAAATTTAAAAATATAAAATAATAATAATAAAATAATAAAAAATATTAATTAATAATATATAAATGAAAACAATAATATAAAATATAAAATAATAATATAAATAATAAGATAATATATTAATAATTTAAGGAAATAATTAAGATAAAATAAAAATACAAAAACTACATATAAAATCTACAACTACAAATACTCCCCAAAGCGGAGCGAGCAGCAGCGACGTCCGTGGGAAGGCAGCGACGTCAGCAGCGACGGCAGCAGCGGCACCGAAAAGCGCGCGCGATTGCACTGACGGAGTTAGCAATTGCTTATAGCGTCTAACTCACGATCGGCGCTGAAAAACTAAGTCCCTATATCACTCCCTACCAAGCACTACTTTTAGCTATTAATCTAAGAGCTAAACTAGTTTAAATATGATTAATTAACGCACTTTATCGCAATCGGCAATCGGAAAGTCTCTATCGCTCACGGTGGCTCGATATCGACTGGTCAAACCAATACAATTGCTTACTGAGATTCCGCTGTTTTTTTACTCAAGAGCAAGTAAAAAAGTAGAGCGCAAAAGGAAGAAAAAACCGAGTCAAAACATGCATGCGTAACGGACAATTCAATGCATATGTATGTATGTATTTACATATGTACAGCAGAAAACCAATCTGTCTGAGCCAATTCTATGCAAATGTTTTAACTAGAATATGTTTATACTTCTAATTGCATTCCTATGGCGTGGGGTGGTGGGTGGTAAATGATTTTATTTACTATTTCTCTTTTCTATCGCTGTTCGCTGTATGTATGTGCATGCACGTGTGTAAATAGACAGCCGCGCATATTCTCAATTGAGAGAGCACTTGTCTGAGTGGGCAGAGAACTCTCAAGTGGAAACAGAGAGATAGAGAGAATAACTCAAAGACATTTCGGCGGTTTTTTTCTCATTCCTTCCATAGGAATTTTCAGAGTCAAAACAATTGCGTGTCCCCCTCCCATACCTTAAATGTAACGGCTGATTTTAACAGCTGCATGTAAAGGCTAAATAAAAGATCTGCAATATCTTAAATATGTATTTAATATTAATATATTTTATTACTAACATACATACATATGCATATAAATTTATGAAATTGTAAACAAATTGTTTACTAATTGCTTTAGGGGAAGGAGACGATGCTCTATCTCTCTCTCAGTTAATTCAGGAGGAGGGGAAGATAATGCAAAGACATGGAAAAGTAAACAGACAGCGCATTGCGCATCTCACTTGTGGAATTGTGGACAGGGCCGGAATTACGTGTTATGACGTCGCATTGGCCAAGTTGCCAAATATAAACGAAATATTTCGCATTCCATGGAGCTATACTAATATACCTTTTTGAATAAATTTCCCTTCGGAATCTGGCGCCCCTTACATTTTGCGCCCAGGACCTAAACCGTCCCTGATTGTGGAAGGGATATAATATAAAGAGAGAGTGTGAGAGAGCGTTTATTTTAGCGGAAAATTCTCATTCTTTTCGCTGGCCCCCCTCCCCAATCATGAATATATAACAGCTGATTTAAACAGCTGCATGTATGTAGATATGTATGTGCATATATGTATGTATGTACATATATGTAGATATGTATGTGCATATATGTATGTATGTACATATATGCATGTACGTATGTCCATTAGTTTTCATAATATTTATATATATGTACATACATAATTTGTTCAACTTATTGCTGGGTGGACGGTGGGTGGTTATTTTCTTGTTTCGAACATGTGATATTGCTAAAAACGGTGTCTCTCTTTCTCTCTCTTTGGTCTGGCTGTTGGCAAAAGAGGCAGGTTGATTTGTTAATGTGTAATGAGGGGGATTGTTTTAAGGCATCAACAAGCTGATAAGGAGAGAGGGGGGTACGGCTGATGCATGCATATGTACATATGTATGTACATATGTGTGGGGGATGGTTGTTGTCTTTTTTAAAACACGTGATATCGCAAGGCTTTCTTTTTCTCTCTCTCTCTCTTTCTGTCTCCCATTTTTGCCTGGTTGTTGCAAAAGGGACAAACTGATTTGTTTATATGGGAGGGGGGGATTGTTTTAAGTCTTAGAATCTAAGACATCAACAAGCCGACTACGCTTCTTGGTCACAATATCTAACAGAGATAGAGTGCGCCTCCCAGCAGCTAGAGTAGGGTTTGTGGTTTAATTGCGTGGGATTAATATTACTCATTGATGGTAACGGAGCAGTGCAGGGGTAAAGCAGACCGCACACTACACGCTGAAGAGTGTGTGAGTGAGAGAGAATGAGTAAGCGCATGGGGTATGTTAGCTTTGGAAAACAATTTATTTTTTCTGGCTATAATAATGATCCGATCTGATTCAGATTCGGCAATCTGGTAGATATGGGCATTCTCTACGATACTGCGTTTTTAGTTTTATCGTATCTTTAAAAGTGTGCCTGCCACAGATTTTCGTCCTTTGTAGGGGCGGAAGGGGGCGGGGCGAAATTTTTAAATACACTTGTAGCAGTGTGATATCACATGAGTCTGGAAACCAAATTTGGTTGCCCTAGCTCTTATAGTCTCTGAGATCTAGGCGCTCAACAAGACGGACAGACAGACGGACAGACAGACGGACAGACAGACGGACAGACGGACAGACAGACATGGCTATATCGACTCGGCTATTGATGCAAGAATATATATACTTTATGGGGTCGGAAACGTTTCCTTCTCTGCGTTACACACATCCACTTTTACCACGAATCTAATATACCCCTTAACTCTTTTTTGAGTACGGGTATAAAAATTGAATGACCGCAAAGATTTAAATTTTAGAACCGACCCAGCTGAGCACAAAAAACACAATGACCACAACAAAGCGACTGTAAGTGCGAACGAGACAAAATGTTCGAAGTACTGCCGTTCATTCTGTCGTTGTCTATCTTACCTTTTTCGATTTTCGAAAGTTTTAATCGCTAAACGGTAACACTGTTTTGAACCCAGAATGGAAAAGTCACAGCGTCACATAGCGGTCATAAAGCTACCGCAAATAAAGAGCCAGCTAAGACATAGGGCTGGGGCAAGAAAAGGGTTATAGAAAGGCAATGAGAATTGAACAGCCTTAATTATCAACAGTCTTATGATTTTACTATTATTATTATCTTATTATTATTATCCTACCTACTTGCTGGCGTTTTGCCGACGGAGTATGTGCCCAGCACTTCTCTTTTCAGCATACGTGTATTTTTTGGCTTGGCCGCTGGTGGTTGGTAAGTTATCAGCCGCAGCTTCACCGGAAGGTCGGGCAGCCGCAATATTACTTAGCCCATGGTATCAGCTTTGGGAGGGGACTTGCCACCCATCCCGGATTTGGGATGGGACCCACCCGGGTTCATACCCGCGCCTTCTGCCAAGCAGATCATATAGTTGAGCGGATCGGGCCAGGCTTTTGGGCCGCTGCCTTCCTCTGCTTGGGACTGCTCCCTGTTGGCGTTTGGGGAGTGCCAGTCTCATTCAATTTTTTGTGTGTTTTGTGATTTTTTGTTTGTTATGCTTTTTATTCATCTTATTCCCACGAACTGCAGAGAAGGGGAAACGGTAAGCCCGGGCAGAGATCTACGTTGCCCGGGTAAGGCATCATTAGAACAGGGTGCCAAGTCCCTGAGCTCTCCGTTCGCGACTGGGCTAGTTTTTATACTGGGGGCGCGGGCCCCCAGCCAGGCTGACTCTTGGCACGGGTCGAATGACACCTTAGTCCGGCCCGGAGTGAGGTGAATGTGGGGGGATGTGGGTAGGTATTGTGTAGGGATGGAAGTGTGTGAGCTATTAAATGAGAGGCGGCACCACAAGCGCATCGTCACTGCTTATTTCGGTACTCTCCCTCAGTGCCAACATAGTTGCTTCTCTTTGGGATGCCCGCTTATTCACAGCTGACCTACCCACCGGGGTAGGCCGTTCGTAATCCGCAACCTGCGACCCGTCCGGTGGCCTCAGCTAAGCCCGCTCTGAGCCACCTCAAAGCCCAATAGGATCATCGGATTATCGGAACGCGTGGGTATAACATCACTAAATTTGGCACTTAACAATACAAAGAGTAAACAAATTCACAAAAAGGGTATTCCAGAGCGCCTTGAAATGAAAAGTATGACTTTTTGCTGAAGAGTAAAACGCAAAGTGAATGTGAAAACCGGAGAATGCCTGTATGTCACAAAACAAACTGACAACTAAATCAGAACAGCTTAACGCCTGAAAACTAAAAATGCATGCCAAGAATTATTTTTCTTTCGACTTTTCCCGAGTTTTTAAAGTCAAAATTTAAAAAAAAAATACCGAAAAAAATGATAAAATTTGAATTTGAAAGCTAAATATCTTCCAGGCATTAAGCTGCAGATACAAAGTGTCTAGGTCGGATTTTAAGTTGCATTTGTCAGCTTTTCAGAACTGCAAAGTTCTATGCAACCAAATATAAGATACTGAAGTTATGTGAAAAATAAAAGCACTACCTCTGAAACAAAAACATTAAAAAAATACCAGATTTTAAAAAATTCTTTAAAAAAAAACTACAACATAAAAAAAAACCATAATTCGTTAAAAAATTTTAAGCCCCGAAATCTATAAGAAAAAGTCATTTTGGGCCACAGCCTAATTGTCGTGTTGACTAGTGTTATTATCAAAAGTTCTCAATTCATGCACTTCAGAAGATCTGCCTCTCTCGTCTGCTTGTCTTTGCTCGTCACTTGCTTGCCGAGCCTCACCAGAAAACTGCTTCACTCCCCTCCTTGTTGTTGCTTGGCACTTGAATGCCGACGCTCACCAAGAAATACTGCTTCACTCGCCTACTTGTAGTTGATCGGCGCTTCCTTGCCGACGCCTTCCCGGAGATCTGCTTCTCTCGTCTGATTTTTCGTTGCTCGGCACTTCCTTGCCGACGCCGTCCAAAAAATACTGCTTCTGTAGCATTTTGTCGTTTCTAGACACTTCCTTGCCGTAATCGACCAAAAAATTCTGC